CGATCCCCCTAACGTACACAAAAAAAAAAAAGCCAATACACCACCCCCCGTACCGCTCCATCCAGACACCCACATCCTGTCGGCCCACCTACCCCAAGTCCCCCATCCCCCCAAACGCTTCACCCCAACACCCACATAGGGCCACACCCCTTCGGCCCGCCTACACTACAACCCCACCACCCCACCCCATGCCCTTTTGCCCCCCAACCCCGTCACCTCCACACCCCATTGGCCGCTCGGCCCGCTCCCCCTAAGGTACGAAAAAATAAAATAAAACGGTACACCACCCCCCGAACTGCTCCACCCCGACACATGCACCCGGTTGGCCGACCTACCCCAAATCCCCCATCCTCCCAACCGCTCTGTCCCAGCAGGGCCAGCACCCACACCCCGTCGGCCCGCGTTCACCACAACCCCACCACCCCACCCCATGCCCTTTTTCCTCCCAACCCCGTCGCCTCCACACCCCGTTGGTCGCTCCCCCTAACGTACAAAAAAAAACAAAAACGAAACACCACCCCCTGAACCGCTCCGCCCCGACACCCGCACCCCGTTGGCCCACATACCCCAAATCCCCCATCCCCCCAAACGCTCCGCCCCAGCACCCACACCCCGTCATCGCACCTATCCCACCCCACCACCTCCCATCCCTGTGACTCTGAAATTGAAATTGCTCCCGGGAGGTCAATGTTGTTGTCTGTTGGGGGGATGGCGGGGTTTTTGGAGGGATAGTTCAACAAGGGTTCTTTGGTTTTCTAAGATGTTGCATTTGGGTATTGTGAGAGAGCTGGGACAAACAAGCACACATACACACACACACACTTATTTAATTGTCACTCCATTCATCATTCATGGACTCAAATGCAAGTTCACACATTGGTTTATCAAACGCATGAAATGACAACGTGGAAAAACATAGACCAGCACATGCAACACTCATCATCCATAAAACAGGAACACCGCAAATGCTGAGATAATATCTGAACAGAAACACAAATCAGTGTAGCATGGATAATAGCAAAATACATCTGACACATAGAGTCAAACACTCGCCAGTGATGGAGAACCTCGATCTAAAGTACAAAAAGAAATCCCGAAACGCCCGCGTCACCTACATAAAATCCCGAAACACTATGCCGGTCATAGAGAACCGCAAACTAAACCAAAAAAGAAAGAGAAAAAAAAAACGCAAATCAGTGTCGCATGGACAACATAAAAAATCATCTGACACATAATGTCGAAGACCAGCCTTATTGCCTATCTCTAAATAGCGAACAAAAAAAAGTATAAACAGTGAACTGCGCAAAATCACTGAACGCTATGCTGGTCGTGGTGAACAAAAAACTAAAATACACAAAAAAAGAAAGAAAAAAAACGGAAGTCTGAACACAGTCAACGATCCTCATCTGCAAGCGAACGCTGCCCACACCGATGCAAAGCTCGTCCATGTGTCCAACCAATGCCACGCGGTCGACCTCTATGGCGTTCCTCGCAACGACCAGCAGTGGAAGGCTCAAGAGGGTCGTCGGGATTGTCGTCCATGATAACTCTCCTGCCTCTGGTTGGTCTGACGCCTGCGGATGCTAAATCAACATATCGGCGAGACTTGCGGTGCATAGGCAGACCGTCTGGCCCGGAAGTCTCCCCCTCCTCGTGTCGATCGATCGGCACATGTCGGCGATTCCTGGCTCGTCGACCAACCTCGGGCTCCTCTAAAATGATGGAGGCCTCTCTCAAACCGTACGTTAGTGGCGGCTGTACTGCCTCTGCATCGGCATCGCGTGTGCCCTCTCGCCACAAATGCCACCACTATCCCCGCCCCTATCGCCAAACCCCGACGCCACAACTTCTTGACGATCCCCGCTCGTGGAGACCAGGGTTGTTAGGCGGGGGCCCCCGGGGGCAAAGCCGGGGTAGGGGTTTGACCCCTGGACCCCCGCCGCGGGGGTGCCGCACCCCC